ATATTTCATATAGGTATTGTTTCGACACCATTTTTTATCCGTAATATTGGAGATTTCCCGTCGTAAAATTAAACATAATTATATAGTTACGGAGAATTAATAAAGTAATTTAAACAAAATTAATATTAAAAACAATAAATTAATTCAATTTTAAATTAAACATTTAAAGAATTTTGAATAAGTTATACATATTATGTATATCCTACGTTGGATACTATACAATCATGCACCATGTTGGATTTCTCCACATCAACCACTCAACATTTATTAATAAAAATGAAATACTTTTCGTTTATAAGGACAAAGCAAAGTTTATTTTAATGTCGTAATAGTCCGAATAAGATTTTTGGGGAATAATTGGAAGTTTCCCGGAAAATAAGAAAATGCGGGCAGAACTGAATGTGCTATTATTATTCTTTCTGTAAGATGTTTGTATCAGCCTAAAGATCACATTTATTGAATTTTGGACAGAACAACGTTTTTCAGGCCAGCTTCTAGTTACTTATGATTAAGTATGTTGCAATAAAAATATTATAATAGTAAAGCGGCTTTTATCGTAAATTAATACTTACCTCGAATATGTTTCAGTACTTGATGTTGCCATTAAAATCGCTAAAATCTGATTATTGTGTATGATTGTAGGCATTTTGGTATTGAATGTATCTTTTCTTTCATCAAAGGCAAAGCTTTTGTAAGCCAGTCATAACGTGATGTTTCTATATCGCTGACTGAACTTTGCAAGCTTTGAAGTTTATTGACGACCGATTACATGTGCTGTCAATAAATTTTATTTTAAGACGTGCTATTCGTTTTGTACTATCATTGCTTATTAAATATTAATTTAATTAGAATGCCACGTTAAACATGGTTCGTTTAGGAAAGGTAGCCTCATTTCAATTAAATTGTATTATGAAGACAAACTAGTAGGTATGTTTTTCTTATTGTATATCCACTTAAATTTTAATGATATTGAATAAATTTTTGAAATATGAGTCCGCCTTTTGCATAATAAGAGTATACATATGCGTTACCGACTAAACGTTTCTATTAGGTACATTATAAACTATAATAGGATAAGCTTCAACACGAAACAGCGACCGTGCTATAATCGTGATATAGCTTTGCAAATATACACGGATTTAAGCATTCACACGCACATAGACTCGATGCGGTCGTTTTGTATCAATAAATCAGATTTTATATTTGTCTATATTAAATTTTTGCGACATTTTTTTCGGCTGTGACCCTTTGTGCGTTTTGCATATAATATTATGTACAGGCCTACTGCCTCGATGGTGTAGTGGCTAGCGTGTACTGCTGCACATCCGGAGGTCCTGGGTTCGAGTGACGGGTCGGGCCAAGTTTAGTTATTGAGTGTTTCTGTTTAGTAAGCCTCAGTAACAGCCCGGAGTTGGGAAGTTGGCGGTGTTTCACCACACCCGTGCCTCGGAGAACACGTAAAGCCGTCGGTCCTGCGCCTTAACCCTCACTGGTCGTGTCGAGTAGTCGTCCCACTGGAGTATGAGAATTACAGGAATTGAGAGTGCAGTTATGTCTGTGCGCATACATGCACTATAATATCTCCTGCGCAGTTGGCTAGTCTCAGTGAGATTGGCCGCTGTGGCCGAAATCGGCCGGGAGGACATTATGTACTGGCCACCGCCACCTTTGGCAAATTTTAGTAACAAGCATTCGTTCATCTACAAACTTTCGCTTTTATAATAATAATAATGTGATATTTATATAAAAAATTAAGAGCTGAATTGTTATGAACACGAAATCCATACTTCCATACTTAATTTCCATTTTTTAATTTCCATACTTAAACAGAGTGACGGATTGGTGTGATTTTTTGTGTGGAGATAGTTGGAGGGCTGGAGAGTGACATAGGCTATTTTTTACCGCGGGAGATTATCTCCTTTCCACGGGAAATCACGTTATAATACAAACCAAAAAATATTTATGATCAGCAATTACTTGAAACTTTGTATTAATGATCTTCAATACAATTTAATAAACATGTGTTTTAGCATTTTTCGTAATTCATGCCATAAGGGGGTAAAATAGGAGATGAAAGATTGTAAGAAAACTACCTTTTAGAGTTTTTTTTGTAGTTTTACCGCGAGCGAAGCCGCGGGTGCTGCTAGTATGTGATAAATGTATTACTAGCTTTTACCTAGGAAATCGTTTGAGTAGTTGTCATATGTATTCCGCTGCAGAAAATGTTTCATGCAAAATTTAACGCCACACCTTTATTCCCCGTTAAAATTTTAATAAAACACACAGTATTCATGAAATGATTTTGAGTGGAAAAGATCTGTGCATTTTAATTATCCTCTTTATTTAAATACATAGGTACAAGACCTATTTATGAAAAGTGACGGTTTAACGTCCGCCTTCAAAAATAAGTCAACGTGATCACTTAAGATGATTAAGTTAATGATAATGATAGTAGTATCATACCGGTTTGTGTCATGATAGCTAATTGAATTACTGGATAACTTTGATAAATCGCTTTGAACTCTGCCAACAAAAAATAAGTATTTAATTTATTATTATATGGTCGCGTAGTACAGAGTGTATAACGCAGTTACACCGAAAATAATAATTAAAAATGTCATGCCTGGAGCACGCTTTATATATCCTAAGACAGTTGTCAACACATGACAACGGACAAGAACAGTTAATTATACAATGCCGTGAGTAAGAAAGGAACAAAATATTTTCCAGAAATGAACTGAAATTACTAGAAAAGATTCGCAACAATGTTCAATGAATGTTCTTTGTTTATGCATATTAAAGGGCCGGCAGTGTATTTATAGTAGGGGAGCCCACGATGCTAAATGGGGATTTACCCGAGCGTCGTAGAGACCTATTGGGATGCAAAGCTTAGATGATAAGAAGAAAAAAATGTTATATGATATATACCTTTACATCGGTGGGGGAAGCGGCTATAGATTTTTAAATATGTAAAAAAAAACTGTTGCATAGACATCCTAAGCGCGTCAGATATTGATAGCATCAATGCCCTACGTATTTTTAATAATGTACGTATGTTAATCTGATCGTTTGCATGATGCGGGTGGTTGTATTTAAGGGTTAAAAATGAAAAAAAAATTTAATCGAGCGCGTCAAATTTTCTAAGGTAGTGTTAAGTGCACCAAAAAAAAGCTCTCATTCACTAATCTGACGATTTCGATGGGACGCAAACTCGCGGCCATTTTCATAAGGTGCAAAAAAAATCGCCATTTTGAAATACTCAAGCGCGTCAGATTAAGATATATATGGTTCATCTTTATGTTCTAAACGTACTGTCTCATAATCTGACGATTATCTAGAGGGATTCGCCTGATCTGACAAAATAAAATTAGAAAAACGGTTCACCTTAAAGGCCATACCTGCAACTTCCCGCTAATTCCATTCCTGGGCGCTTTTATGATATTTTGAGCTCGCTGAGTTCAAAGAAATAATATTTCTATGCATTTGAGCTCTCCCAGCTCGAAAGTCTGATAGAAGTTTCATAGAACACTATTTTTGGAATTTTCAAACCGCAATAACTTTTGAATAGATCAAGCAAATCATTGTCTGTCGATGTACCAGCAACCTCAGTAGACAAAGAATCAACAGTACCACGTGCTTCGGAACACTCTCCAGAATCAGGAGCATGTGTTTCGGAGCTATTTCCCGAAACTTCCGGTGTATTGTCATGTTCCACTACACTTTGATTTTGTAAATACTGAAAGTCTCGCGGTATTTTAATTGCAGTAAATAATTTATAACACTGTGCGTGATATAAATCATTTAATGATGATTCCATCGACAATTCGAGGTTATCATATGTTCCTCGAGACTTTCGGATAACCGGCTTGCTCCGACGATATTCCAAAATATTTACACATTTTTTTAAAGTTTCTACCGTAAATTTAATTGTTTTTGTAAGGTTCTTTCACCACAAAATACGCATTTCAAATTAATGTCACTCATAATTAATATTTATAAACTTTTATTCACACAAATAATATTAAAATAGCAAAAAAAGCCAAAACATTGGAAACACGTTGTAAACAGTATGCCACGAACGAGTCTTTATGATCAGCTGTGATGGCGTCATGGCGGCAGAAACCAGAATGGGGACGGAGTGTGAGAGTAATAGATAGAGAAAGAGTGAGAGAGGAATAGACACGCGGAGAAGGAAATGTAGGCATCACGCAGCTGCACGCATTTAACTTTATCGACGAATTTTTGTTATTTCGGCTTGCGGAAATCGTCAGATTATATATTTTTCATTATTCTTGAATTATTTCCTTCAAAATAAAAAAAAAATTTAGCTACGCTCGAGAATGTCGAGATGACGTTTTTTTTACAACTTTGTTGCCCTCCCCTTTTTTTACGTCACTCTCAAATTGTCAGATTAGTGGAATATACACTTTTTAGGATGTAATTAAGTCACCCTACCTTAATCTGACGCGCTCGAGAATTTCTGATGGTCAATTTTTTTTTACTAATCTGATCCTGTATCCTTCACGGGCGGCCTTATATATGGGCCTCATGTTTTGTGGAGGTACTTAACCGGGTACAAGGTATCCCCCTGTATATTAATCTGCCGCGCTTTAGTAAATCCCGAAATCCTCGCTTGGGCTCCCCTACTAATAGAGATCATTTGAAATTCTGACCTAAGAAAAGCTTGAGAAGAAATACGAAAAAATGGAAAATTGAAGGAAAGTGGATTAAAGTGTACCCCGCCAGGAAGATCCCATACAGTGAGCTACTCAATGCTTTAGAGTCGCGATAAGGTGATAGTTACCTGAAGCACGTGTACAGGGCTCAAATTAGAGACCGTATTCAATCTATTACATACTAACTGTCATATAAATATTTTAGTATAAACTATTATTACTAGCGCTTAATATAAATCGGTGTCACGTTTTGTTTTTATTATTTAATATGAAAATATTTTTTTTGCGTTTGAATATTGTTTAAATTGTCTTATTTTTTTCCAGAAGAAGATGAGTCGCAGATATTTGTGAAGTTCTTCAAATTCCACAAATGCTACGATTTGATTCCGACGTCCGCCAAGCTGGTGGTGTTTGATACGCAGCTACTCGTGAAGAAGGCTTTCTTTGCTCTCGTTTATAACGGTGAGTATTACTATATTGCTATGACTCTTTTTACTAATTTTTCTTTACTTAAATATTCTAATTGTTTCTTTTACAAAACTAAATTTAGGTTTATTTATATAGTTACACCAGCCAGAAATTTGACCCTCGCTTGTATAATTAATGCATTTCGAAAACAATTTCAGATTACATTTTATAAGTAATAGAAATTTATTCGACTGTCTAATGCTCTGATACGCTTTGTGAAATATCCAACAACATTTTATTATAAAATTTGAAATCCTCGATTAATTTTCTGTTGCTATTGAGTTAATGCAGAAGAGGTACAATTGGGGATTACACAATGTTTTACAAGTTCTTTTTATTTTACAAACAAATAGATACATAATATGATAAAGTTCATATTATTGCTTATTACTTTTTCGTTGATTGTCATTAATTACATATTATAAAACAGGCTACGTTTCGTAAAAGGATAGTCATTTGATACTGGAATTGCTTTTATAAGCACTTTAGTTACATAGTGACATAATCATTTCACAGGAGACGCTCATACTATATGTTTTATATATTCCAATGCTAAATGTGAGTAATTTGATAACAGGGTAAGGATTCCATTCGTCAAAATGTAAATGAATCTACTACCTCTGCTGCTTATTAAATTATATTGCAGCCCGGAAGGTGATAAGTAATAATAAAACATTATGAATGATTCAACTTTTTCGGAATATAATATAATAAAATGCTTACATATTATATTGTTACAAATTACTTATGTTTATATAATGATTCTAACTTGCGTTATTTTAAAAAAATAACGTAAGTATTAACTAGTTTAATATGCATTCTACAAGGTTTTTAATATGCGTTCGTTATTATTAAATAAAATATTCATTTGGTACGAGTTTCCTCCAAAATTAACAATTCTTTCTTACTCTTAAATATATTACGGTAATAGCAACCATAATAATGTTATGAAACTTTATTATTGAATCAAACGAAATGAATGATGTGAAATCGTTCCTGTTACTATATCCTAATAGAAATGAAACTGTTGTGTGCGAATGATGTTTATTTTCTGTTGTGAAAACTTTTTTCTTGCTATGTGGCGTTTGCGAATTGATATATAATATGTATATTATGCACTTGATATGCTATAATAGTGCATAGTACTAGTGCTAGTCGCTTGGCGAACAAGAGCAATCTAGTGATGTTGAAAACTGAATTGGTTTATATTCTCGCAGCTCACTCTCGCTCCCATCATCGCTGACTCCGTAAGAAATAATACGCCAGCTCGAGTGGAATTTAAGGTCTTTGTTGTTTCATATTATTTAATATCTATTTGGCTTATTAGATTAAGATTTAATATGCAAAGATAGTATTTGTTCGTGAGATAATGTATGTTTTTTGAAATTTTATTTGAAAAAATGTGCCATTTTGATATGATAATCTGTGGTCAGACAGGATGTGATTACTGTCTTTCTTGGTTGTAATTTTCAATTATTAGAGAAATTTCTCTCAAATATTTACTCTATAATTGCATTCTCCACTGAATTTTATATAGAGTTGGTATTGTTTCTTACGGATTCCAGAGTGAAATGTTTTTCAGATTTTGTTGGTTCTGTGAGGACTGAAATTATGTTTAAAACAATAAATACGTATATATAATATACACTTAAGTATGTTTTATTTAATATAATGAAAAACACAAATTTGAGTCCTTGCTATTTTCATTTATTTTGACTTACATTTATTTTTTACAGTGGAGATTGGCAATACGTGAAAGCGGCTTCTTTATATTTATGTGTCGTTGACTTTACTTAATTAACACAATTATTATTTATATTAGAAAATAAGAAAACAAGGATTAGCTAATCCATATCTTATACTACTTTCTTAGATTTACGCCATATCTTATACCTTTAAACGAGCAATTCTTGTATATATATATATATATATATATAATATATATATATATATATATATATATGTCAACTGCCTCGGTGGTGTAGTGGCTAGCATGTACGGCTGCACACCCGGAGGTCCTGGGGTCGAGTCCCGGGTCGGCCCAAGTTTAGTTATTGAGTCTTTCTGTATATTAAGCCTCAGTAATAGCCCGGAGTTGGGAAGTTGGCGGTATGTCACCCCCGTGCCTCGGAGAGCACTAAGAGCTAGTCTCGATGAGATTGGCCGCCGTGACCGGAATCGGTCAGGAGAACATCATATATATATATATATATATATATATATATATATATATATATATATAGGTGTAAGCATCGTGGTCAAGCGGGCAAGGTGCAAGATCGACAATCACAGGTGTCCAGGTTCGAATATCGGTCGCATACAAAGTTTTTACCTTTGTTTTTTTATATTTATTCAAGTTTTTAGTTTAAAAAAGAAAGAAAATTGTACTGTAGGCCAAAAAGTTCCAGCGAAGCTCGGTAGCCCAGGTACTTAATATTATAAATGCGAAAGTAAGTCTGTCTCTCTGTCTGTCTGTTACGTTTTCACGACTAAACCGCTGAACCAATGTTGATGATTTTGATAAAGAGATGGATAGAATCTTAGGAAAGGCAAGACATAGACTACTTTTTGTCGTAAAGTACTTAAAGTACTTACCTATTTTCCTATAACTATGTATGCACATCTACGGTTAGTATAAAGTTAAAGTTATAGAATAAAGTTTGTATATTATATAGTCTATTTTATGCTAACCGTGAAAACGTACGTAGTATATATTAACATTATATAATTTTATATATAACACATTAAAACGTGTTGTGTTAGGTATCAAATATAAATGTTATTCAAGATTGTACATTCATTATTTTAATTTTAGTTTATACCTAATGATCATCGTTACGTTGTATACCCTTCGCCGTGATATGCACATCCTTTCGTTCCTTTTCAATATTCTTAATGACCCTAATTCTCCTTCATACCTTCGTTCACGTTTCCAAATACTCCCTACTCCTTCACGTTCCAGGCGGCCTTGCATCACTGCGACGCTCGATAATAAACACGTCTTGAAAAAAAAACCCTTTTGTTTTATTTCAAGACGTGTTTTTTTTCCAAGCTAAATGTACGAGTATGGAAGCAGAAACTACCAATAAATATATAAGAGATTGATAAAGCAATAATATATAAAAGGCTACTACGTGTCTTTTCGCGCGGTTAACAACGAGGGCACCCGGCCTTTACCGCCATAACACTGATATTAGTATTTATGTACATATTGACACGTTTTCAAGGAATATTAGTCATAAACATATATTACATTGTAAGATTATTCTTAAAGTATTCTAAAAACTCCGTTTTTATTGCTATGATTTCATAGCTTATTGATATTACAAATGCGAAAGTGTAATTTTAAATATCTGTTTTTAAAACATTTTTTTAATATGGTTTGGTTTACATTTTCAAGAGCAACTCTCCTAAATAGGTATAATACATTTTATACAATTTTATTGCTGTCCTACTTAGTACTAAGGAATAGGCTAAAGCTTTGTACCAGAGATCAACTCTCGCTCATTCACTCTAGTCACTTGATCATAAAAAAATGTATTATCCTATCTGGACATGACAGAGTAAGCTAAAAAGAAGGAAACAGAATCTATTTCATTCTTTTAGTTAGTGGAGTCTAGTAATTACCTACGATATCTTTAAAAACGCTTAAAACATATGACTACTATATTATGATATATCGTTAAATCTAGACAAATATTTTTTTGTGTTTATAGCTGTAAATACTAATAAAATAAATATACACCGAATCTTGTGATAACCTAATTAAATGATTATTTATTTTAATACCTGACGAGTGTTTAAATAATTATACAACTATCTTAAAACGTAGCAACTGAATAGTAGTAAGTAAACAATTATCTGTCGTTCATGCAAGCATATCAAGTGTAATAATGCCAATAATAATTCGTCAAGCACGTACATTTTACTTTGACTTTATAAATATACAAGTTGCACAATGATTTTTAGGTTCATTGAACTTTGATGATAAATAGTTGTTTTTAGCGCATTGCATTATATTATGGCACATCTGTGTACGCATTTATTATTTATGCTAAAATTACAACATTTTTAAAATTACATTTTTTTCCTGCGATGAATCAGAAAGGCAAAATCGTTAAATTTGTATATATAAGAAGATTTTCTTGATAGCTAGTATTTGGTAGTAGGTAGAACCAATATAACCTTTAAAACAACCTGACAATGTCATTTTAAAAGTTTACTGGAAAATGAAAAATAACCGTGGTTCATATAAAATAGTTAAATAAAAAACCAGAACGAGAACAAAGGTCAAGAAGTAACATATGAAATGAAATAATTTTACTGGGCATTTCGGAAACAATTATTTTTTTGTTTTGTTGATCTTTGGGTTTACTAAGGTTAATCAAGCTCATCTCTCATATAAACTTTGTCTTTAGATATCATTTACTACATCCCATTCTCATGGAAAATTGTAGAAGTTTTGTGATTTTTTAAAATCATTATATAGAACAAATTCTAATTTACAGCTAAAAAATATGTACAGAAATAAATTTAATATGTGCGATGAAACTTGCAGAATGAGTACCAATATTGTTAGATTGGCAGAGTTTAATGTAAGGCGCCTAACATATTATACGCTAACTAGTGAGTTGCCGAGAATAAGACAATACTATTCGCAATCTGAGCTTAAGAAAGTTCGAGTGGGAGTAACATAGCGAAGTGTATTAGAACTTATATAGAAATTCGCAGTATTCCTAATCCGCAAGAGATTGTTATTCTAACTTTCGGAGATAAGTTTGTTGTAATGAATCTCATGATATTTAAAAAAAATTGTAAAATAAAACAGGTAACGAAAAAGATGACTGTAGTAAAAAAAGTTTCGTTCTATTTTCATTCATACAATTTATAATAATTTAGGCAAATATGCATGGAACTCACTCATATATCTTGAGATATTCTGGCGGTAAAACTCATTCTATGAACACAGAAAATGTTATAAGTATTTGTAGCAATACAAATACTTGTACTTTTATTATACTTATGTACAATACTATTGTTAAATGTATATACAACAATATATATAAAAAATACTATTACAAATATAAAAAAAGTTTTTCTACATGTACTCCTGTAGTTATTATATGTCTTTACTCGTACAGATACATATATGTATATAAAATTTCGGTGTGCAATTCTTTTCCTTCCACAAGGTTTAAACGGTTTTAATAAATATTTTTTGTTTACTTATGGGGTCAATTAGATGATTTTATCTATATCTTTAGAAATTCCTAAATAAATTTAATTTAATTTCTAATAGGATTAATTTTCTGACCAACGGAGGTCTATAGAAACCGCGTGCCTTTCGGATCTGCTACTTTTTTATGCGATATGATAGTATTTTTGTAATGTCATATCATGATATCATATTGATAGTTTTGTAAACAAAATATGACGAATGTATGTAATATAAAAAAATATATAATTTATTTAGCTTTTGTATGTATCTATTTGTTTTATGTATTATATTACGAGAGACAATGTTTATGAAGTAAAATTAATAGTCATTATTATCATATTTAATTTAAAAAAGGTTTCAACAATTATTTTAAAATGCTAGTCACTAATGTTATTAAGAGGATTGTGAACCTGTAAATTTTCATACAAAAAGCGATAACGTTTTTCCCCCCTTAAACATAGTCTAATTTTCATAATTTTTGGAAATGTTGTAGATATAATCAAAATCTAGGTCCGTACGTTTTTATTTTTTTGAAATATTGCGTACGACAGAAGTTATTAGCATCTAAATATCTATATTTTTGACCTAAAAACTTCCTCCAGCGTTTTTATTTGTTTAAATTAAACTAAACTGAATTACAAAAAAAGGAAAACGTACAGACCTAGATTAAGGTGTACTGAATCTAATGAGACCAAAATCGTCTCATTTCGTTAATGTTTAGGGGGGTGAAAACGTTATCGCCCGAAACAATATTTCAAAAAGGAAATGTAGGTAATTGAGTCTAAGACTTGCAACTCTCTCTATCGCACCATACGGGTCGGGGGCAGGGGCATATTTTAGACTGTAGTGATGTTGAAGGTGCTATCGATATTATTATCTCCTAGGGAGGAGAAGGTAATATCGATATATCGATCGATACTGAAAGGATTCAATCCAAAGTTTAGAATTTTATTATACTCGTATGTATAGATTGTAACTAAGCCGTATCTGTACATTAAATATTTTTTGGAAAATATTATTGAAATAAACATTATTATCGATACAGAGGCCGAATCTATAGTTTTTTGAATTTTTGTCTGTCTGTCTGTATGTCTGTCTGTCTGTTACCACGTCACAGAAAAACCACTGGAGGGATTTTGATGAAATTTGGTATGGTGGTAGCTGGTTATCCGGATCAACATATTATAGCATTACCGCGGGAAAATATCTCATTTCTGAGAAAAAATACAAAACTGAAAATATATATATATATATATATATATATATATATAAATATATATATATATATATATATATATATATATATATATATATATATATATATATATATATATATATATATATACAGGGTCATTTTTAATTTACTGAAGACCTTTTGGGAATATACTATTTACATCATAACAACAACCTCTGTAACAAGAAAAAAAAATATTTCTTAAATTTTCATTTTCATACAAAAATAAAAATATTTTCTATATCATCATCATCATTATATCTGGCCAAGTTTGAATGAGTAAGGACCACTTCCTACACCACTCCACCCCTCGCCCTCCACCCCTCGCCCACCACCGGTCACGCGCTTTCTTTTGCTAATTGCTGGACTATTACCGTTTAGAAGGAGCAATAAAAATACTTTTATTTTTGTAAAATTTATATTTTTAATTTTATATTCGTTATAATTTATAATATTCGTTATAATTTTATGAAAATTATTAGTATGTGTATAATTATATATATATACACATACTATTCGTTATAATTTTTTCGAAATTATCGATATTTTATTAGTTTTTGGAGTTAATTTTATTGATTTTTCTGAAAAAAATGATTTTAGGGCAATTACAGAAAGAAATGAAAATCATTCGTAATCTAATCTTGTTTATTCATTAGTTAAAAATATATTTAAAAAAATTAAGTTGATATATTTTATAAAATTTAGTCATAGATATGTTAAAAAATCGTAAATCATCATCATTCATGATCAGGTCATTTTATGAATTTCTATTCCTTATATACCTGCTAACATTATAAAATCATAAAACTTCAGGTTTTCAATAAAATAATTATTTTAACAATAAAAGGATTCCGATGGGTCTATTAGTACCTACATAAACAACAAAAAATTCTATAACTTTCAACTTTTGGAACGAGATTTTTGTAATTGATCTAAACCACCTATTTATTTTTTTATGATTTTTTGAAGTCATCAATCTAAACAAGTCAAATTTTAAATGATATTCGCCACAGAATTGTAATTTAGAGTTATTTCAGTTTATGAATAAAGGTGCGATGTAACTTGTAGGGAATGTATATTGTACGCAAACCGTTAAAATAATAAATATTAGATAAACTTTGAAATTGCTCTTGCGCCGAGTCGCGCCGCCCCCGCCCCCGCCCCCCGCAAGCGCCCGCGCGTCACCGGCTGCTGCTATCATAGTGTGTGTGAGACTTTGCGTATGTTGTATTTGTGTTGTTCACTGCCGGGGGGATGCAAAGCGGTATGAAACAGATAGCATTTTTAAAAATACCTACTCTCGCCGCGTATCGGCACTTCACAATCCTCTTAAGAGTATATTTTGTACTTTAACAGGCGTTCGCGCTGCACCGCTATGGGATTCGCAGAGGCAGAGGTTCGTGGGTATGCTCACCATTACGGACTTTATCAAGATTCTGCAAATGTATTACACCAGTCCCGACGTTACAATGGACGAGTTGGAGGAGCATCGTCTCGAGACATGGCGACGTAAGTACCTTCACACATATTATATCTAAATATCCTTCAAAAGTTATACGGGTACATTAAAGATTGGTTAGTCTATCTTTAACTTTATAAACCTTTAATAATTTAGTAAAATTACTTATAATGCTCATAAATTTCATCAGGTATTAGGTAGTGTATACAGTTCCTTTTAATATACGATACGAAATATCTTGATTTCTTTGCAAATTGTCTTATATCCTTCCTTTGGGTGTAAAATTTTAAATTATACCTTTTTAACGGTGATTTAAATAGTTTTAGCAATACAATATCTAAATTTCAGTCTTATAGGTATAATAGTAATAGGTAGTAATACTCTAGCTGAGAAATAATTCAGAACAAGCGATATATGTATATAATCGAGGAGTATCTATACATATAATAAAATATTAAAAAAAGCGAAATCTATAGGTACATGAAATATTTTAAAGGACTCGTCTGGTGGACCAATGCTGGTGTCCTGCATTACAGCTCCCTAAGATCTGGTTAGATGATTACGGCAGATCCGTATTATCAACAATAGTAAACCATGATGGTAAAGCTAACTGTTAAAAAAACCGAGATTGGTCAATTGCTCTAGCCCACTGGTGCTTCAGAACAACGCTAGACCACACACAGCACAACAGACATAATAACAAAAATATATAATTTACTATTTTTTTTGTTTTTCTCTTTCCATATAAAACGCCAATTTCATATGTAAGGACCTAATATTATTCTTTTTTTATTTAGCGGAAAAATGTAATTATACTAAATGAGTAAAGTTATTATTTAAATTATGCATTACTTCTTCTTTCTGTAGATGTGCAAACATGTCTTCTCGCGTGTCTTTGAACTTTTTTCCTTGTACTTACGTACATGAATATTATAAACAAATTACGTAATATATTGTTTTGCAATGCGTTATTTATATTACAACATAAAATATTATTATCCTGAAGCACAGAACATTGACCGTTAATATTTTAATTACTATATGTACATTCATGTATCATGTGTATTCAAATATATAAAATTTCTCATCTATAACATTTTAGGAGCGTAAATAAGTTTTATATAAAATATATATTTGTTATTTATTAACACATTAAGAATGTTTGTATTTTATTTACATACGTTAATACAGAAGTATTCTTCATACTGCATTATTTACTATTATGCGCTAGTCATTTTCGATACGTAGGTTTCCACATTGAGAATAGCACAGCAATCAATACTTACAACATTTATTTTAATAACATTGTTTTAATATTTATGAAGATGATGTACGTGCATTAAAAAATTAAACTTCAATTTCCATTTAAATCGTAAATTTTTGAATAACTTCAAAAGACCTCATTCACAATCCATTATGTATTTACAGTTGTGTTTAGAGGACGATTAATATGGAATGGGTTTGTGATGTGCTAAAGGACCACAATTTTGTTTTTTTTTCTGAGAATTAGCCACATCATACACACATAAAATTTTCGCATTTATAACAGTAATGTAACAAATGAAATGAAAAACCTAATTCAAGGTTTCCGATATTCACAGAGGTGCTGAAGGGGTCGGTCATGCCGCTGGTCTCTATTAGCCCAGACTCGTCCTTATTCGACGCTATCAAGATGCTCATCACCAATCGTATTCATCGTCTGCCTGTCATTGACCCCGACACCGGGAACGTACTTTATATACTCACACACAAAAGAATACTACGCTTCCTTTTCTTATACGTAAGTATCTTTGGTTACATCTCTTTCATAACAGTAACATTGTTATGTTAATTGACTATTTACATTTGTTTCAATAATACTAATAATTTATCAGTGATATTGTAAATCAAGCTTTTGTTAAAAAGGATGCAATCGACACGATATTTTTATATTTATTTTCATGCTACATACGGGCGTACATATGTAATAGCCGAATGGGACAGAGTGCCAAGAGCATTAGAGAGATGTGGTCATCTCTTTCGCTCCTATTGTCATTATTCTCACTTTACACTCTCGACGCGGGGCCTCAGACCAAATAATTTAATAATATAAATATAAACTCGAGTTGACTTCAAGTTCAACTACTATTATTTCGGATTTCAATTACCGTTCTATTACATACCAGATTTTCGTCAATCATTCTCGTACTTAGTGAACTATGTGTTCATTATTTTTCATTATTGTAATTATTATACTTTTAATATAAAACCTGCTATTAAAAGTATGTTTCTATTTACGTATTCTTCGAGTTACTGACTGTACAATATACATATGTATTTAAATAAATAGTATACTGTATATACTAGTAAAATCTATTTGCATATGCATATAATGAAGCCGATTTTTCCTTTGTCACGCCATCACGTAAAAACTACTGAACATATCGATATGGGACTTTGACCAATCAACACGGGATCGTTTTTAGAAATTTTTATGCTGTTTATTTTTTAATTCCATACATCACCATTTTTCGAAGTGAAAACTTCTATAGGCAGGCTTGGAATAGCGAGTAAATTCATGTAATTCGTTGTCGACGACATGGTCATGTAACGTGTTAACGCTAATACTTCGATAGATGTCAAAAGTAGATAAATGTAAACAGTTAGAAATTTTAATCAATTTAAATATCCAAAAATAACAACTGCTTATAGTTTTAAGTTTCTCTTCTGTCGGCAGTTATAATGACTGCATTTTTTAATTACTTTTTTTCCGATAATAAACTAAAGACCATTTTTTATTCATTTGTTTTTTTAATTTAACCTAAATATAAATAACCACCTGAAATATTAATACACGCAAATGGGCGGGCGACGGCTAGTAGGACATTATAAATTGAAATATTCTCCTTCGCAGTAAATTATTCAATTCCAGACCTTATTTCCACAGATGATTCATGTACATTATATCTTCGTGTTTCATTATTAACCGACATCAAAAGATAAGGTTTTTTAATTGGCGTGCGTGTTTCTGTTTGTTCGAACTACTTATGAACGGATTTTGAATATACTTTTTATTAAAATAGGCTTTTCGGGTGGACCTCTATATGAAGTTCAAAAAAAAAACCTCTATCTATGAAATTTCTATGAATATATCTATCTATCTTACTACTATCGAATCTACTTAGGATATTGGTTACAATCTTGTTATAATGACTTTTGTGATGTGACAAAAAATAAAAAAATATAAAAAATATATACTATTTGTAGGAAAGAATGCGATGTATGTGTTATAAAATTATTTTGAGGTCGGTGTAATTTTATATATTATAAATATATTGTTTCAGATAAACGAATTGCCAAAGCCGTCGTATTTACAATGCAAGTTGCGAGATTTACGCATTGGCACTCTAAACGACATAGAGACGGCTACTGAAGATACTTCAATCATAGAAGCCCTACGGAAGTTTGTGAACCGACGTGTGTCTGCGTTACCGCTTATTGATACTGAAGGACGCCTTAAGGACATATACGCCAAGTTTGATGTCATTGTAAGTTCACATTATAGTCTAAGATCCAAAGTGAGATCGACCAATCATATCTGCTTACCTTTACCTTATGATATATCGTATACCTTTAATTAAAAGAGCTTTGTTTCATGTTTCACTTATTTGCTTATCGAATCTGATTTTAATTGAAAGTAGGTACATACATATAAATATGTATATTATTATATATTTTTGTATTATGGTGTATCCATTTTTTTAAATTTGGTTACGCGTTGTATAGTGTTCACATATAGGTTACATTACATTATTTATAAGCTATACATATAATAAAATTCTAACTCGAATTTGTACATTAAATAGTTTTTGGAAAATCTTATTGAAATACATTATAATCGATACAAGGCCAAATGTATAGTTTATAGAATTTTGGTTTGTCTAACCCTCTGGGAACGCATCACGAGAAAACCACTGGAGGGATTTTAATGGAATTTGGTATGATGATAGCTGGTTATTGCGGTCAACATATAGGATACTTTTTACTGCGGGAAAACATCTCCGTTGCTTTTTTTTATTAAATAAATATCAAAGTTAAAGGGGCGTAAAATAAGGAAAAGGCCAAATTATAGGGATTCTGCTTATGTCATTTGGCTACGGAAGCCAAAGAAACTTTGTAAATTTATTTGCGGTAGTTTAAGGCAGTTCTTTCCCAAAATATACTTTATTGACGTCAATCTTATGAAATATAGAAAGACAACTACATCTTTTTCTTTATGAGGAAATTAATTGTATCACGAAATTAATAATAAATCAAGTGAATCATTATAATACAAAAATTAAGAGTAGTAGAAAAAGATTTTTAAAGGATAAAATCTTTGTGAATTTCCTTATATGTGTGTAATATTATTGTTCTATACAATAAAAATAAAATATCTTACTTGTTAAGTCATTAATAATATCATTGCTTATAATATCTCTTATTATTATAAATGTGGATGTTTATTTAGATGTTTGTTACTCGATGACGTCAGAACGGCTTAACGGATTTAGATGAAATTTGGCACAAAGATAGATTATAGTTTGGAATAGGACATAAGCTACTTTTATCTCGGAAAAAAGTACGGTTGCCGTGGGATAGATTTGTTTTTGTTTTTTATTAATCATACACATTTATATACAATATATATATAATGTGTTTTGTTTAATTTCAGAACTTAGCCGCCGAGAAAACGTACAATAATTTAGACGTATCGCTCAAAAAAGCCAACGAACATAGAAACGAGTGGTTCGAGGGTGTACAGAAATGCAATCTCGATGAAACATTGTATGAAGTTATGGAGAGGATTGTGCGAGCTGAGGTATTTTATGTTTTTGTTTTTTACAAAACTATATATAATCAGGTCATTTTGGTGCAGATGATATGAAGTGTACAGCTAGCCAGATGCATAATAACAGCCAGGTCAAAAATCAATTTTACAGCAGCTTTAGAGTATCAAGTTAAAATATTTTATAATACCATAATTAATCAGAATCAGTAGTTTGTTGGTTTGTACTTACTAGTGCCACAGATGATTATAACACCATACACTATACAATATATACAGATGACAAATCTTATTCGATTTGAAAATTCTTTTTGCATTAGATAGCCCGTTTATTGAGGAAGGCTATAGTAAAATAAAAGGTTTTAAAAATTGTTTTTGAGCGGAATCATATCATAATTGAATCATAATTGTCAACAAATCCGGCAGACTTTCATACATTATTGTAAAACTGATATTTATAATATGTTTTAAGTGCTTTAAGCTTTACCTACTGAGCCCATTTCCAAAATGCCTTTTGCATTAGGCCAAAGAGATTTTTTGTAGGTTTTGCACGATCGAAGCTGCGGGTTCTGCTAGTGCTATATAAAGAAATTGGACAGCACTAATTCGGGATATTCTTCGGGCTATTTTTGTTTGCTTGAGTAGATAGATAGATAATAGATGTCGATGATCCGCAAATTGTAGAACTATTCTATACTAATATTATAAAGAGACAGTTTGTTTGAACGCGCTAATCTCAGGAACTACTAATCCGATTGATTTTTTTAACATATCGTTGGCTCACTATTACAAGGTTCTATGTTAATTTTAATGAAGTTTAGTAATTTGACTTTAAAAAATTTGACTTTCGAAAAATGTATACTTATTAGTCCTGATCCCTAAATGACAGTTTATTAGCATAATTAAGGGCTACGTGATGCTTTCTAGGAACTAACAATTGGATATTTGCTTGGATATTAAGCAATATTATCGAAATTAAAATAACATAGAACTTTGTGATACCAAAAAAATATTTTTATTTATTTTAACCAGAACTTAGGACTTTGTTTCATTGAAATAAGTAAAAGATATTAGTTTATGTCCAAGTTAAGGTTTAATTTTCTTGAGTCATCTGAACTATTATAATATGTTATCATGTCTCAGTACCATTAAAAAACATTACTTGTACATATGTGAAATTTATTATCATAAAAAATGGTTTACACTTTGAATATTGCCTCATAGAACTCCTTGTCCACTGTAGGCATCCATCGATACATAGATTCTGCTGTCATCTAAAGCTCACTTCAAATCTATCTATACTATAATAAAACTGTAGAAGTCGAATGTCTGTACATAGAACAAAAATGCTAAAAACCGCCCGATGTAAGAAGACAAATAGAACAAATCCAGATTTTTTTCAATTTTTTTGTTTCTCTGTCTGTTTTACGGGCTAATCTCCGAATCTATTGGCCTGTTTTAAATGAAATTTTGCATGGTGGTACTTTATATCCCCGGGCAACATCTTAGATACTTTTCATCCCGGAAAATTAAAGAGTTCCCGTGGGATAGTTAAAAAACTATAATAACTTATACAGCTTAGTACACAAAAACTATTGATTGGATTTTAATAAAACTTTACAATAATATAGTTCATACATGAAAATAACAAATCGGCTACTTTTCATTCTGGAAAATTAAAGGTTTCCCGTGGGACATTCAAAAAACTATAGTAACTTATACAGCATAGTAGGTACACATAAACTACTGATTGAATTTTGATGAAACTTTACAATAATATAGTTCATATATCAGAATAACAAATAGGTTACTTTTTAACCCGGAAAAGTGTACGGTTCCCGTAGGATAGATGTTTTCGTTTATTTGTAACGTATTATGTACACAACATAGACCCCAAAACAATAGTTTTTAAAAAAATGTCTGTTTTTGTGTGCGCGTTTCACACGAAAATTAATGTACCAATTTCAACCAAATTTGGTAAAGTGATAACTTATTACTCGAGTCAACATTTAGGATACCTTTTACTTCAAGAAATCTTTCTTTTCCATGGAAAATACAATAACTGGTTTTATCGAGTCCTCCCTAGAAACCTTCCGCTGGCTAAGCCTTAAGACAAACATATATCAAAACAATATACTAAAAAATTGTAGGTCTTGAAAAGTCCAACAGAAAAGTTCTGAATAGTATGTTTATCTCATAAGCAATATCTATACCTACCTATAATAAAACTAACTTAGTCAAAAGTACTCGGGTCAACATTTAGGATACCTTTTACGACAGGCAAATTATTCATTCACACGGTTCAACAAGAAATACTGGTTCTATTGAATCGTCTTTAAAAAATTATATGGCTAACGCTGGCTCCACCTTAAGAGATAGATCAAAACATTGGACAAGAAAATTGTAATTCTTAAAAAGGTCTGTAGAAAAGTTCTCAATATTATTATATGTCTATTTCCAAGGTACACTCGCTATAATTAATTTCATTATTATACTTGTATATCACTGTTTTATTATACGTTATTTATTCTATCTATGTATACGTATATGTATAATAAAACTAGAATTTGAATGTCTGTACAAAGAAAAAAAAATGCTATAAACCGAGTTAGTTCTTTTCTTACATCTCGTAAGAAGAGAAATAGAACAAATCCAGATTTTTCATTTTTGTTGTTTCTCTGCCTGTTTGTCTGTTTGCACGAGCTAATCTCTGAAACTATTAGACTGATTTAAGTGAAATTTTGCATGGTGGTACCTTATATCCCCGGTCAACATCTAAGATACTTTTCATTCAGGAAATTAAGGAATTCCCGTGAGATAGTTAAAAAACTATAGTTTTATTTAAAATGTTAAATATTCGTGTAAATCTAAGAAAACTATAGTAACTTATACAACTTAGTACACAACAACTTATGCACCTAATTTAGTAAAATTTGGCATGCTGATACCTTATATTGCCGGTCTAACAACAGGTTACTTTTCATCTCGGAAAAATGAACGGTTCTTGTGGGATATACTTGTTTGTGCTTTTCTAGAGGCGAACCCGAGCGAAGCGAGGGTGAGCCGCTAGTTGTAAATAAAACTAAGCATAAAACTCTAAGCAAGGTCCTCTGTTTAACATAGAACCTTGCTATCCTAAAAAAAGCAAAAATTGAATGGTTCTATGTTTAACATAGAACCTTGCTATCCTAAAAAAATATAAAAACCTAAATTGAATGGTTCTATTTTTTACATAGAACTTCGTTATTTTGTGATTTAAAAAAAAACAACATATAACTATGTAAAATTGAATATTTTTTAGGTATAGTGCTGCTATCTAGTGGTTTGTTTTTGCAAAACTGTAGCTAATGACACATAGAACCTTGTAATATTGAGCCAACGATATATAGATAATTTTTTTAAACCATAATATATCTTTTTGAATCTATTATTTATCTATTCTTAATTTTACACAAACTTAAATAAGAAATCGATATATACATATAAATACTATCTATATTCATTTGAACTAATTTTTCCTTATTACTAATGAGATCCCATCTCTAAGTTAAATGAATGAAAAGTCAATAGTAAATAATGAAAATACTAGTAAATTCGATTTTCTGATCTTCAATATGTACCTGTATCACCTTTAGGTGCATCGTTTGGTCGTGGTAGACGAGGAGGACAAGGTGACAGGGATCATATCCCTATCCGACCTCCTCATGTACCTCGTGTTGCGCCCCACCGGCGACTGTGAGGGTGCCAGCTTGCGAAATGAGCACGGCCCTATAGAGGAAAAGGACGAACATCCAGAGGAAAACCTTTCTAAACCCTCTAAATCCTCAATCTCCATCCCAGAGGTAGAGTGCCAAGTCTCAATGTAAGTATCCCCATTCTACATTGTGAAATATTATTACATAGTGAAATGTTATTGTTGCTAAAATAATTTGTTTAATTGTGAATTTTAATACTAATGTTCTTTTTTTGAATAATTTTCATAGTATTATTCATAGTTATCCGTTTCGAATAGGATGGTTTGTAGCACTTTTGATATGGCAATGATAAAGTATAATCGATGAAACTTTACCTAGTAACAACTTTTAAACGAAGGATAAATCGATTTATTATTTGTTATTATTGTTCCTTATTTATTTTGATATTTTTAGACTTACATTTAATATAATATGATAATAAATAAATAAATAAATAAATAAATAAATAAATAATTTTCAATTTTTGCAATTTTATACAATCTTCTTTAATGTTTATTTTTATTAATAAAAAAATATATTTAAAATTATAATATTAGAATATAGAATAATGTTAGAATATTATTATTAGGAAATAAAACGTTGTTATTTGCGGTGATTTCATAGCGCTTTTCGTCCTTAAAATAATAATTTATTTAATAGTATTTTTTTCATAATTAATTTGTATATTGAATAAAATATTGTTATAATAATTAATTATAAAAAGATTCACACGAAAATATTATTTTGTTAATATAGAAAAAAAAACATTTAAATAAATTGTTTTATTTTTCTAATCAGAAGTATTTTGCACTTTAAAGAAAGCGTCATCTGCACCATCTTATTTGTAACGGATGTACTCGTAAATTACGAAAGTTCTGAGTCTTTATTACTATTTTCTTTAATTTCTAGCATTAATATTTTATAATGTAAATTGGGTGAGTGTGAGAGTTTAATTTTCACAGACGGTTGTGATGTTATCAAACTTGTATAATGTAAATGATATAATATATTGTTTTTCTTAGATTTCGCGTTTTTTTTGGGGTTAAAAGAATTTAACGTATCTGACCGTTTTTAAAATTTGTATTATGTAAAGTATCCCTATTTTCTATTTTTTCATTTAAAATTCACATTGTTTTTGTCAGTTAAAAGTTTTAATATCGCCGCTAATTCAGTACTTTTATGCTAGGTGTGATATTTTAGACATTTGGCTTTTTTTATTTGGTTTTAACTTTCAAAAGCCAGAAAGAAAGCCAAGAAGAACAAATTGGTTTTATTGCGTCTATTTATTTGACGCCACACACATAATATGCTCAGACCATTCTCTGTTGCCTGCAATTTTGTCCCACTATCCACACTCACCCCTTATAAGATGGTATATCTTTATTGCCGTTTGATATAATTATCTATGATTTTTATTTAATATTATAATAGTATTTTTTAAATTTTTGCGGCAGAGTTATAGCTGTAGTAGTTTTAATACGCGTCATAATAAGGTTTTTGTAAGATTATAACATACACATTATTCTCTTCTTAATATTTATCATAGAATCTGTAAATTTCATAGTCTTAGTGATTATTTGTTGAAACGACCAATACTTATTGTACTTTACAGCGGAGAGTTTCTTCTTTTATCTTTAAAACAAAGCTTTATTTCTAAGTTTTATATTCATATATAGATAAAATACTTTTTATTCGGCTGTGTTAAAGCAAAATGTTTATTTAATATCAACAGAAGTGACATTTTAAAGCCAATAATTATGTATTAAAAACTCTTTCGGTAAATTGGTCGTTTGGACAAATAAGCACTTTGGCGACGATTTACGTAATATATTATATTATGTAACTAAGTGTTTATATTATTGAACTTTAGATAATTTGAATATTTTTAGGAGTTTTATTTTTATTACTATTACTTTCTTACGTCTAACTTTAGTTTTAGATTCTCTTAGTTTTTATATGAAGTATTGGAAACTTGGGCGTGTGTTATGGTAGAAATTTATCGCACTTATTTTATTAGTGAGAGTGTTTGTAAATGGTGGTTTTTTAGTTGTCTCGCATCAGTCTTCTCTGTTTCGTCAAAGAGTCTGATGTAAATTGAATATTTTAACTCAAAATACGTCTAAAAATACATTTTTTTGTTTAACTACCGAAATCTACTTAGTATTGTAATTTGGACATTACTATAAATGTGGTAGAGGTATACCGTGGCATATATTGAGAGAGAGACAATAATTTTATAATATTTGCACTACTACTAGGTTTGTTTTATGAATGTGTTTACTAAGTAGTTCATTGTTCATATTGTAAGCACAAGTAACACGCTTTAGAAGTTATGGAAGTTAAACATGATTGTAATAAAAAACTATCCATATCTGATCGCATTAGAATGAATTCACGTGTTTATCAAAATACTACTTATAAATGAATGAAATTAGGAGTAAATATACTAATTTAATTAATTGTTAAATGAAACAAGATTATTGCTAACGTGTACACTTTTGAAAAGCACGAGGGATCATTCAATATACTAATGTACTAATATTACTGATATTGATTATTTTCTTTGTTTAAAACAATATTTTTGGACGATAATTACATTTAAAATTAAAATATTCGTTCCTTTTTACCAAACAATACGCATGTTCTAAAGTTCACATGCAGGAAGTATTATGATGTGTTAGTAACTTATATTTAGCGTAGCTCCTAGTGTTACTCCTATGAATATTTGTAATAATTGTTGTATTAATAAAGTGAATAACATATAGTGATAGACTATTTTATAAGGGCGATGGAAAGGAAATTTTTAATTCTTTACTTTATATAAAGCTCAGGAATACAACATGTTATGTTTTTGGTGTACTTTGTCTAAAATATACAACGCACATGTTAATAGATACGATAATGAAGACTTACAAATAAAATTTGATCCCCCTTTAGAGTTGTTTTCATTTTGCACACCTTTATGTTATCGGGTTAATAAATAAAAAGCAGTGTCCTTTATTTAACGTTCTATTACAGTTCAATAAACTTTACATTTAAATAGTTATATATCACAAAAATTTGTTCCGAATCATAGCAGATGACTTCTTCTACGTACGACAATTTTTCATTGGTCCTAAATTATTTTGGTTCTTGATTAGTGATTACACACTTCCCAATCGAATGGCAAGTGTAAATACACTTCCCAATCGTATCACAATTTTTTCGAATTTTTGATCTTTTGTCAATTTTATTCCTTTGTAGGAATATTATTTACTTTAAGTTTCGAATGTTTTTACGAATTTACCATTTAATTCTTACTTCAATATATAAGTAGTATAATAATCAACTTCACGTAGATCTTACAGCCAGTTCTTCTCACAAACACTAGAATAGACAATAGTAAGCAATAGTGGACATGTTTCAGAAAATATTAGTTTTCATCTTACCTTTATAAATTTTATATTTATTTCTGCTATTATAAAAAGAGTTATTAGAATATAAAATACAGCTTTTAATTTTAAAATTCAATTTCAAACCCCCATCTAACGTGTTCAGTAAAAAATGCATACGTAAAGAGCGCATTTTCCTCTTGGTAAGGAAAAAAGCGCCATCTATTGCCTACTTTTGTATCTATTAGACAAAACTTTCGGCTGCAGTGATTCGGAACATGAGAACAACGATCGCCGCGAGATAGCGCTTGCATCTCGGGCAATAGGATAGAACAATGGATTATGCTACACATGGAAATCTTAAGCGTAGGGGCCTTTCCTGTAAAATTTTCTTTAAAAAATTACCAAAGTGACAATTTTAGGATATACTTTCTGATATAAAATATAGATTTCCATTCGAGCTCGTATATTATATAAAATAATGTAGGTTAACTTTATATATTTTCAAAAAGTCGTGAAAATAAAATATTTTCCATCACATGACATTTATATTCAAAATATTACAGAATAGGCCCGTCGATAACAACTTTGACAGACACGTGATTATATTAAAGTAGCCACAGTCGAGTTACTACTGATTATATTATTGGATAAAGGCCAATATTAAAGTCCTGATTTAGAAAATATAATTCATATATACATATATACAAATATAATAAGTATATAAATCATAGTAACTAATTAAAGTAAATCACTCCTTTAAAAATAACAAGTTTGATGGAAATATTTTTAGGTATACATTCGTGATTTAGTACTTATTGTAAATTTAAATTTAATACCAAATAATCTTACTATCGAATGTACTAAAATTATTTAAAATAGGCCTTTTTAATTTAAATAATTAATTATACATGTCCATGAATGGAAAGTTTGAAACTAATTACAGTGCATCAATGGAACCTCTTTTAAATTTTAACATACAATAAATCTTAACTATGAAGAAAACTAAAAATTATTGAAAAGGTTCCTTATAATATAACATTGAGTTTGATTATATATTCTTACACTTTTATAATATATAGACAACAACGGGGGTTAATTATACCTAACTATATGCGTAATAACAATTATACTCTACATCAAATGTGACTTGAAACATTAAACATAAATTAATTTGAGCTTATTTTAGTCAATAATAATTATAATCAACTTTTAACTAATGACAGACAGAGATCGAGTGTTTCTGACTAGATAGTTAGCAAAGTGAAGACAGATACACGCCGTTATCACTAGTACATCAAATTATATGCCGATTTATTTATTAGATGCCTATTTAATTTATGCTGAATATGGTGTCAAAGTACTTTTAACGAAGTTTTAACATCCGTCTTTATATACTCGTACCTGCACAATATCTAAACAATGTTACACCAAATATTTGAGATGCATATATCAATATCGATTATGCCTAGCACATGTGTGTATTTAACGTATACTTATCTACGGTTGTGTAATGACTATCAGGAAATTAAAAATGTTTTTGTAGTGGTTAGAAATGTACTTACTTAACAACTAAAATATCAATCAAATAAAAAGACCGTTTTAAGTCCATTATAATTTCAATGTTTTGTATTCTTTATAGTAGTTTGTTCTCTCAAACAGTTATAAATACTTTTGAACGCTTATCTATTTATATTTATAATAACGTGGTAAAAGTTTTATTTAACATGAAAAGGAAATTAAAGAAAATACTGAAACTCATAAACCCTTTCCTTCAATTACCTAATTCTCCAAACCTTACGATATATTTACGCTTACGAGATATTTATCAAACAACAACAACATCATTTCACAAATAAGGCCTAGGTATTATCAGATTTCATTAAAAATATTTGGAACCTGACAAGATATATTGCACCACCTGCAAAATATCGTGATAATTGAACATCAACAATGTTCTCTCTACCTATAGTAACAAAAAAAAGTAATAACTAAAAGTAGGTACTTGTAATAAGTCTAATTACATAGAGTTTATTTCATTTCATTTATATATTATTATCAAGGTCAATTAATGAAATTAATAAATAATTAAAAATAAATAATCTATTTGATTAATTTATAGACAGTTGTTGGCATAAACATATCAATATCTTCTGATTAAATTTCATTCTTTTAAATAATATAAATAGGTAGGCACGTGCGATAATTTTGTCAAATTCCTAGGTAATTGTAAATACCCTTCCTGGTATAATAATATTCTATCCTTACTATTTATATTATGATTAAAACTAAATAAAAATGCTTAAAGATAGATATGTTTAAATTAGGTATTAAGTGTTTTAAATATTAGTATGAAAATTATTGAATGTAGCATATTCAAGTGGCATTTTGAGCCAACTTCGACCGTTACTAGAAAGATTTTTAAAACTAAAATATGTATATATTTGCATTTTCTCATAAGACTCAATAAATTAAAAGAATGAGTTTTTAGTTTGTATTTTGGTAGAAACTACATTTTCACACAAGGTATTTTTTTTCCTAATGCTTTTGAAATGCTCATGGGTTGATCGATATGTCTTATAAACTAATGATCGTTACCTTTGTCAATATATAAGTTTTTATATTTACAAATCAGTTTGTTACGTGACAAGCCAGTCCTTTTCAACGGTTTATATTAGGGTTAAGAATAGTTAAAATGTTACATAAAATATCACATTTCCGAGAATGTCTCATAAAAAGATTAAAAAGTAATCAAGTTTTTAGTACTGATATGAGATTTGTTAGGTACTATATGCACATTCCCTCTCACGTAAATAAAAAAACGACAAGCTTTAGAAATTTTCTTGATATGTTTACGACTTAAATTTGTTAATATTATTGGACTAAAATAATTAAAAATATTAACTATTAAAAAAAGTATGTATATATTCTACAATAAATAGTGTAAATAACAAACGTCAAAGAATAATTCTTGTAACAATTCCTAACATTGAATAAGCTGTAGTAGATATCGTACAGTAAATATATTATATATGTAGTTTCTACAGTAAATATAGGGTTTATTTAGTAGTTTGTTATATAATATAATATTATAATATGGTAAAAATAGATAGAACAGCACAGGTATCCCTCTACATAGCGATAGCTGCATATTTTCATAATTGATAATTTAACATCCACTTAAAAGAATAATTGTAGTAAATCTGATTTGGCAAGGATCGAATAGTACCCATATATATGTTATAATAATATCAAATCTTTTCCATACAAAGTCTAAACTCTTTAAGTGCCGTCCTATGCGTTTGGTCATCCGCCAATATGCTCATGTAACATCTTTACCTAAATTATTAAAACGAATGTTAGCACTATTAAAAATAAATTCAATAATTTAAAAATACGCAAAAAATGAATCTAGTAATAAAAACAAATTATAATACTATTTTAAATACTCTTTGGCATAAAAATAATACTCTTTGCTATATTTGAATAGATACAAATATTATTTATATTTTAAGTACGTGTAAATAAAAGCAGCAGCAAAATCCCTTTGGAATTTTTACTCATTCCATGATTCGTAGGTAACGTCGGGGTAGGCCCACGGTGGCCGGCTGGAGGTGTGAGAGGTGGTCCGATTCGTCCTTTCATTGTACCTGAAATTGATTTAAATTCAAATATGGTATAGTATAGTATTAGATATATAAATTGCATTATTTTATTACTCGTAAAATAAGACAATGGTGCCAATTAATAAATCAATCCATATTTAATGTAAATAAAAAAAAAACAAGTCAATTTTCTTCAAAGCGTGCCAGTTGAGCACAGATAATTTTTTTATTTTACATATAATAAAATTGTAACTAAGCCGAATCTGTACATTAAATATTTTTTGGAAAATGTTATTGAATTAGACATTATTATCGATACAGAGGCCGAATCTATAGTTTTTAGAAATTTTTGTCTGACTGTCTGTCTGCTACCGTGTCACAGAAAAACCACTAGAGGGTTTTTGATGAAATTTGGTATGGTGATAGCTGGTTATCCGGGTCAATATATAGGATAATTTTTACCCTTGGAAGATATCTTAGTTCTGAGAAAAAATACAAAAGCTGCAATGTAAGAGTACACTGATATGTAAAACCTAAGAACTTGGTTTTTAGTTATCTGAACGCGGGCTTAGCCGCGGGCAATGCTAGTTGTATATATAAACATGTCTTAAATGATATTGGCATAAAATCTAAAGTGAAACGTTGAAAACCACTACGTAACAGGCATTGTTCTATGAAACTGGTCTGCAACTGAAATACATGTAATAATTGACTGTGCGAGAGTAATAAATACTACAGTTACTGGTGTAATGGGCATCCTGTATAGAAATAGAGCGGCTTACATTTTCACAGGTAAAAATTTGTATTGCATACAGATGATTGTCCCTATCGGGACGAGTGCAGTGAGGCGTAATCTAAGTCAGCGCTAGTTTGGTAGATACTAAGTGGCGTTGAAGTGGAGAGCAACTAACGATGGAAACTGTAGATAGTAACAGGTCGTTTTAAGTAAATAACAAACGCCATCAATTTTTGGCTTTTTATTTTAATTTTCCTTACCGAGACTCGACCTGCATATAGGAAGAGTTGCCAGAGAAGCCTCGGCTAGTCGATTGTACGGGTTCCAAGTCAGCTACATGCCAAGCAAGTAAGGGATCCGAATATCTATAATATTCATAAAATAAAATGAGATTTTCATCATAAAGTATATCCATATAACTTTTTTAATTACTTTGATTGGTTAAGAGTAAAAAAAATGTAAAAAATTAGTTTCTTTAAAAGGAAAACAGAAAGCACTAGTTACTTTAAAGAAAACTTTCCATCCTTCTCTGAGTTTTATATTTGCAATTAATTAACATTTTACGATAAATCTTATTATTAGTTATTAGCATGTCCCAGGATATAAGGGAGATTTTTTTTACGCGAAATTAAATACGCATATCCTTTTATTTTTTAATGACTTAAATGACCCAAATAGCTCAAATAACAAAATATTGTTGTAATTGAATCACGATAACCCGTGCCGACTTGATGCCAAACATAAGGCAAGAAAATTGTATGAAGTAATATAGCTAGATTCTAAAAGTCAAAGATTATTGAGTTAATAAGTCAACGATATAGCCAAATCGTAAAACTATTTTTTATTTTAGATTAAATATAATATATTATTTTTAAAATTTTCTTTTCAATGTTTTCGTTTTACAATCGGAATAAAGCTTCCGGCGTTCTTGTACGTAACGTAAGAAAAACGTTTTTTTTTTCTCTTCAACCGTTATTAAGCCTGAAATTCTTGCATCAACTTAATTCCTTTTTAGCTGTTTCATTCACTGTTTTGAGTGTTTTATGTTAAAGAATCTATTTCTATATTTATTTATATAATTTACCATACAGTGATCCACAAAGTTCTTAAAACTTAATTTTCTGAAGTTGCTTTGGAGACGGTTTTATCAATTTTTTGTAAGCTATTATTGATTTCAAAAACCATAGGTCCTGATAAGCTGCTTTAACTACAAAAATACATTGCAGCCATGGCTTTATGCAGCATGTGACAAAGATATGCAAACATTGAGCAGTGGTAATTTTCAATTGGTCGCTTACAGTGATATTTTCAGGCCTTTGCCTGTTCGCTCCTAAAGAGCTTTCTAGTCTTGGCACAGCAATAATTGTTCCTTATCTTCAAATGAAAATACTATCGGAAGATGTTCTTCTGTCAATTTTCGAGCATTTAAAGTAGGCAACAGTTTTCCATCCCAGTGATCCCTTACAACATCGGGTACCTCCTTTAGAAAATCAACTTTTATAGCTTCAGCGCCTTTTTTTCATTTTTCTGTCGAATTCTTTGAATTAAAGACTTACTTATCGGAAATTCATGTGTATTATAACCACGCGTCTTAATAGTTGCTTCCAAAATAAACACAAGCTCTTATACTGAGCTGACAATTATCTAACGCTGCTACTAATTTTGGAGTAATGAAATCTTTGTAAAATTATTGTACTTGTTCCGGGTTTGTGCCGTCTCAATCTGGTTGGCAATTTTTTTCGTAAATATTATGTATGTTTTCATAAGAATCAGAAGATGACGCATTTTGTAAAGGTTCATGTGAAAGGGTTTGAAGCTGATATAAAATATTTAATACGCCGCTTTTCATCTTTGATAATTTAGAGACGTGCCCTTTCCTCTTTTTTATTTAGTTTTTTTATCTACTAAGTGACCAGGTCAACCTGGCTCTCTCTGTCGCTCCGAAAAATGCTATCTTCATTTATGTTAATTAATTAAAGCGCATCAGTGCGGCCAATGTTGGATAAATTATCTACGTTCTTGACAAACTCTTTTAAATTATAAAATAAAACTTCCAAAACTTGTCTATTAGAGGAAAGTTTTGAACCTATTATTTCATGTTTTATTTTTCCTACTAATATGTATGTTCTTTTTAGAACTGCGTTATTCCACTGACATCTTGAATAACTTAAAACAATTCGATTTACTAACAAATTCGGTATGCCTTACTAAGCAAGGACTGATATATATCGACCACACGCACGGGTTACCGTTGTCCAACTTTCCTTAAATTTTATTTACAATGATTTTGACACCATTCTAACAAATTAAGAGCGTTTAAGACTAAGATAATAATTTCCGCCAAATTATAATTCATCAGAGAAAGTCGTAAAATTATTAATGAGTAACTAACAAATAATAAGTAAGGCACTTATACATATTATTTCATCAGCGATGAATAGATGATAAATTAAGTACTTGTGAGTAAAAAGTGTCAGTGCTGCCTGTTAAAACGAAGTTTAATTTTATTGCTAAAATACTTTTATACAGAAAATTATTACGATCTATGTGAGCATTCTGTTATTAAAAATGTATGTAAATGTATTGATTTAGGTTAGGGTATAGGTTAAACTATTCATGTAAAGCTCATAGCTGTTAGATATTATCACTACTTTATTATAGGTAATGTTTTAAGGAAGATACTCACTGATCATGGCTACCATAAAGTCCAACGCCGTCACCTTCGAAGATATTTCGGTCACCAGTGGGAGCAGGTTGCGTGGACGGTGGAAGGGTTGTGCGGTCCAAGGGGTTGGGGAGCGGCGGGGTTGGGGCTCGGGGCTTTAGAGGGTTTGTCTCTAGGTTTGAATTCTTGATGCCATATTTGAAGTACATGATCAGTCCTGTAATACGCATATTGATAGGTATTCTTATATTGCTTATTAATAAAAATTACCTATTATGAATGGAACAAGTAAAACTTTCATTTTAATTATAGAATCAAAGTGTTAAGTTTTTAAATATCATATAGTTATATGATTCAGTGATGATTGTTTCGATATAAATAAAAAAATATATAATACCTAATATCATCCAAATAGTGAATCGCACTAAGGTCAAAATTGAGAGATTAAGGATAAGATAAATGTTGACGATGATCGCTGTCGCCGGTACGAAGGGAAGACCAGGTGTAGCATAAATCAGAGCAACTCTGCAAGTAAACGTAAAGTAGTAAACTTCAAAGTAAGTATTGCGTTAATATTATTTTTATCGTCTAATATTTTCTAAATATTTTAATATAATTAAATATTTTAACGTCGATTAATATTAAATCGTTTGTTTAATTTACCTTAGGAAAATTCAATGTTACATATTTGTTATAATATTCTCAACGCATTCACAATCTGTACCATTGATAAATTGAAGTGTAAATTGCGTTCGGCCATTCGATTGTATAATCTTACCGATTTTGAGGTTTCCGCGAGATGGCGAGAAGAATAAAAATGATGGTCAAAATGAGCAAGATCATGAGCACGGAAACGAATGTCGACTCTCCAGGGCTACCGTAAGCCGCAAGTAAGTCGAAAAAGATCACCAGCACGTACATTATTCCCACAGCCTTGATGACAAACATGCCTGTAAAGATTAATATATTACTAATATTCAAAATTACACATTTATAACTTATAACGTATTATATTTACGCTAATTTATATTACTTAGAAAACATGAATGGAGAAGATTTATTGTTTTTTTTTTAATTTTTCCAGATACAGAAATGATAATTTGATAAAATTTGCATAGTTTATTTCATTCATACCGGATTGTTCAGTGGCGGGTCCGCAGTCAATCCAAGGAAGAAGACCAGGGCAAAGATAAGACATTGCGTGTAACCGGCGATAGATAGCGTCGAAGAAACGAGCACAGCGAGACGTTCCAACAGAGCACCCACCGGGCACTGCACCTAGTTTAACAATTAACCTTTTAAATAAGAATTTTTTAATAATATTATTTAAAATAAATAATATTTACAATATTTTTACCATAAATCTTTATTTAGTACACGAGATATCAAAAACAGAAGCTTAAATCAGAGAAAACAGTTAAGCGTAAGTCTATCAATGTATTTAATAGATACTCGTATAAAGCTTTTATTGTATACACTGACAATTATTTGTTTCTTTTTATAAAAAATATATTATTAAAGTAATAATAGTTTCTATAAAATACATAATAAATGTTTGTCCTAGTTATCAAGATAGAGATACAAAATGCTCTTCCATCGCAAATTGATAGAATGTCGTATCGCTAAAAGTAGCGACCGTGACTTGAACAACTTTTCCGTACTTACTCATCCGTTGTAAATGTCATAAAATCCATTTCACGATATTTTCAAGTAATTTAAAGATAATGAAAGTGCACAAAATAATTTTTAAATAACTTGCCTTATAATCTATTGGTTATCTTATCGTTATTTAGTCGTAATATACTTATGCAGGCCTATTTTAATATTTTTAACTGATAAAACAATCGCAATTCTAATAATTCTTTCTTAAAACAAATGTTGTTTACATATTAATTATAAGTGATATATAGGTTATTAATAATTGTGATAAATCTATATAAAACGTACAAAGTTTACCTACATATAACTATTGCGAGAAAACTTGCAAGTATTTGAATCATATTTTGAGATTTATTAGTGTGAGTACAACCAGAACGTGTTTTGGTTGTATGTATGTTGTTGAAAGGTCTGCGTGTGGTTTGTGTGTATCTTTGATACTTGCTTGGCTTGCTAATATTACATACTTAATACAAATCGCATCACCGCTTACCATAAAACTTGTTCTCCGTGTTGGAATTAACTAGGAAGGTGTCGTCGCGACCGTATTCCTCACTCTCGTCGCCGGGCAAAGTGTCGTCTGAGTCAGGAGAGCTGTGGAAAGACTAAGTCGCTTAGCGGAGCGCAGGCATAGCTTTACATAGTCACAACATAGAAAAAGATCGGCCGGCCTTTCGCTAGCAAAAAAATCGCAATTCGCATGGCTTCGCAATGATATTATTACCTTCGAGTAACTCGACGCACCATAACGCGCTGGGTGGTAGGCATAATGTGAGTCTGGCCATGTCCCTGTAACAATGATCATACAATATAACCACAAAAAGGTACTAAAATATTTTAGTTCAAATTTAATAAAACTTCTATTATTGTTACATGATGTAGATAATATGTATAGTAATTATCTGTGCATCGAAGTTCTAACTTTCGATTAGCGGAGACCATATAAATTGTTAGACTACAATCTAATAATCAGCAGTCATTGACAGACCACTTTCCGATTTATGTGATGTCTGATTAAGCTTTTGCTTGCAAGCCGTAGTAGCCCAGTTGTAACGCGCTCGCATGGAAAACCAAGTGAAACGATAAGCATTTATTCTTAAGAAATATTCTAATACTTTTATCCGAATAAGTGTAATTGTATAGGTACCTACTTAACAAATAAAAGAAAATTAATTTTTCCTTATAAAAAACATACTCTTACAAAAACTTAAAAATAGTAATGCTTATGTAAAATTACTTCAATTTTTTTTCAATTTCATATTAGAAGTTACAGAGATTTTTTTAGGCTGAATTGGTATGCTAATAAAAATGTTAAGTTCCTCAATTTCTCTATTCAAAAATGTAAAAATATTCCTCTATTTATTACAACTTATTAGTACATTATTATTTTTTAAATGAGCAGGGCGAAGAGGAGACTAATCATGATTTAGAGATTTTATTTTATAGTATTTGAAGTAAATTTTTCGCTACCCGTTCAAATTTTTGAATATAGTATAATAAGGAGATAGAAATAAAAAAACAATAAAAAACTAATAATTTGAATAAATACAAAAAAAAAAAGTAAAAACCGACCGGGATACGAATCCAGACACCTGTTGTTGTAAACTTGCGCCTTGGCCGCTTGACCACGATGCTTATGTCCTAGCGTGCGAATTAACGACCATATTTTGTGTGGAATATTGCGAAACAAAACCGCAAGAAAATTCAAAAACACGCGTTTTTCCAGACATAAAACTAATCTAGATCGATTTATCGCCCCCGAAACCCCCGGTGTGCTAAATATCATGAAAATCGTTGGAGCCGTTTCCGAAATTCAGATTATATATATACACGAATTGCTCGTTTAAATATATTAGATATTATAGGGTAATCATAATTTTAATTGAACTATTATTACTACTCAAATTCTATAATCACTAGATAATATATTCATAGCTTAGTCATCTCGTGACCACAACAGGTTTACGATTAGTTAACCCTAATAGTATTTTCATGCATGCTACAGCAAGTGAAAATAATAATTTTGAAATTACATGCACTTTCATAAGGACTTATACCGCATACGTATAGCAATATTTCTTTACATGACTGTTTCAAAATACAATCACGCTACGCCAGCTACGCCATATGAGTTTCTTATCAAACTCAGGTTATCTGCACGATTCTTAATCCTCAAACTAAAAATATATATATAGACGATCCGCCAAAAACATGTTGAAGTCGAAAATAGTAACGTGATTATACTATTCTCGGTTTACTGATAACGCCATAGTCCATAGAGATTGTTTGATTTCTTAAGAGCATTAAAGTACGAGTATATTGATCGTTAACTTATAATATTTGTAAAGAAATAGTGAATTATAAACATCTTTATACTTTTTTCTCTTTAGTATAGTAACATCTCTTCCATCGGAGTGGTTTAATATAATATTTTTTCTTTCTTTATGTCTATAGGTTACCTATTTTAAGTATTGAGTATTATATGAATTGTTTTATTTTGTTTTATTTTGTTTGAACTGTTCTATAATATTTTAAGCATAATAATGTGTGTATTCTTTATTATTTGATTTCATATTTTGTTGCTAAATTATTATTAAAGAAAACTAGTAGTAAGAAAATGGATAGTAAATTTAACAATTGTAAAATTTAATTTATAAAATCCATTAAAAATATATTATTAATACTTACATAACATGTGTGTTTCATCAAATGTCTAAGAATTATATTTTCTAACACAACGTAATACGTTTATACTGAATAATTGTTATTTATCCTACGAAGCGAAAATGCTTCTTTGATGAATTGCTCTATGCCGGGTCTGTTGCGGTTGAATGTAAAAAATAATTTATTATTGTAGTGACGCATATATAGAAGCTTTTCCGTGTTGCAATTATTTTTCCTTAATTACACGTTGTCGTATTTGTAGTAGGTATATCAAGGATATAACCAATTTAAAATTGTGTTACTTATAAGTTAGTAAGTGTTGTTATTTATAAGTTATGCCGCTAGTACTGCATATATGCAGTACTCTCTCTCTTTATACAGGTGGTTTTCAAGTACTTAGAGCATATTTTATATACCTAAATATGTGTGTATGTGAGATTTGCGAGATGAGTAAGCGTGAAATTATATTTTAAGAATAAAAGGAGACGTATAATAGAATTTTATGAATATAATGGAATGAAACAGATGAATAAAAGAAAAGAAGGACGTTGTGTCATAATGGCGACACGGCGATATGCGACTAACACTGATATATGTAAATTTAATATAATTAATAGTCGGTGAGCAATCAAGTGCTTTTATTTGCATTCTTTCATCCTATGAAATACATATAATATACATATAATATACATACATGCATACAATTAATACATACATACATGTAGTATATTAATTGTAGGTATGCCCAGTATTCATGAACCCTTCGTTTTATCTTTAGTACAGTTTTTGATAATTGAAGCAGTTAGTGTAGATCAATTGAAACTCTCGAAGTTTTCAAAGTGGATAGGTGCAGGTAAGAACGTGGACTTTACCAGTCGAGACTATTCAAACTTCAACGTAATTAATATTTAGCCAGTAATGGCTAAAACCGGAGTTTTAACCACATCGATCATTATCATCATGTTTCCATGAAATCTGCAAGTAAATGGTTTCATTGATTCTGATATAAAACACGAACTCTTTGCGATTTCAGTTTCGTACAAAATGTTATGGTACTTTCATCTAGACAGAAGATTGGAAGTTTCCAATGTTCCCTATTCAATTCTTTATTTACAACAGCGTTTGCATTGGAACAATCGCTATTACAAGCTCGGGTGAATTTGGAGATTCTCAGCGTAATTAATTGGCACTTACCAAGACCCGAAATAGAGAGCTGCCGGTGATAAATGCTGGCCTTTCTGGTCAGATTTGCCACATTTGCTAGGATTTGCAGGTAGGTTGGCGACCGTAGTTAGTTATGTGTGAGTGTGAGCAATGTACATTCATTCGCTGGTATTTATACCTCAGTCGTCTTTTACCACACACTCGGCCAAAACAGGGTTGGCGTCCATGATGTTGATTGATAAACTGATTTTTTGTTTGTATTAGATACATATATATCTACCAGATACCATATGGTTAACTTCTAACAAAGTACTTATATTTTTTTATTTTATATTCACTGTAATACTACTTGGCTGGGATAAACTCACGAATTCAATTTAATCACGTTACGGTTATCGACAAGCTCGACCTTGCCTCGCTCTGTGTTTAAACTCTCGCCCACGGCTCGCTCACATAACTAGATTTTGTTAACTTAGATTCTTGATATTATTTTGTAATCCGACACCTTATACGAGAAAAAAAGTAAGAATAAGAATTATATGAATACGTGAAATATAATATAAAGAAACACCTTCTTAATATTTTAAACAGAATATAGGGATTCGTCTTAGTTGCTTCCGCTTTGATTGATTTAGCCAACGTAAATATTTACCAATTATGAGCATCCATGTGTTCCGTAAGGAACTATTAGTTAATCTGTTGCGGCGTAAAATTTGATAACGCATCGTGTGTAATTGAGTTTTTATTTTACGTGAGAGTGTTAGTTCAAAAACTATATTAACATTTTGTATTTTATGATAACACGCCTACTTTCAGAGATGTCGAATACTGAAAGTTGTGAATGCATTCATAATATTTATAGCAATTACATACTTTACGATTGTTTCTTTCAGGATTGCTTTTTTTTAAGTCGAATTCAGAGATGCCATTTGTTAAATTTAAAGTTGATGAGACCAAAAGAAAAAGTTTTAAGCGATAAATTCAATTATAAATTCGTGTCACAACTTTTAATAAATGACCTGCGTTTTAAAATAAATACCTATTTCAATATAATTTCTGTTGTGTCCAATATTTTCATTATTAATGGTCATTAATGGTATTGATATCATCCTCCCAATGTTAGTTTTGGTCTGATACATATTTAAGAACTAAAAAATTGCGAATTTTATTTTTATTTTCCCAACATATTGTTATTTTATTGGTTTAACTTTAGACGAATAAATACATTAAGTTTTTAGTTAGTCTTTAGGGGTTGGTTTTTAGGGGTGATTAACCAATCACCATCCATAGTAAATTGTGAAATATGTTGGATTTTATGGATTTGGCCAACAAATTTGGATGATCGCGATTATGATACTACTTACTAAAATATATTTTCTTCATTTATTAATCCAGTAGAGTTTTCATCTACACTCAAACTTCTATTGCTCGAAACAAACTGGTTCTCGATAGAAACATTTTTACGAAATTTTTCATTTCAATAGTGCGAATAATCAAAGGTGACCTTGAGTTGTCGTTCTACGAATTCTTATAAAAAGTAAACTTAATAAATTGAATGCAATTAGAAAAGTACAATATGTAGGTAATTATTTTAGTTATAATATGTATGTACTTACGGAAAAGGTAGTCTCACATTGAGTGGATGCAGTTCCTTCAGGCTCGACGGGTGTGCGCAAACTTTGAGGCAGCAGTTCGATCAGATTGTTCGAGTGGGGTTGGTAGCGGAGAACCAGGACACAGGTTGAAACCAGCGTATAAGCCAGTAAAGTACCTATAATTATAATGCAAACATTACTCTTATACAGTACTTGAGTGACCTGGAGTTTTAGGCAATAGTACAATCTTCTTTTTAATTTGGCTTAAAAACCAAAAGAAATTAAAACTTGAATAAATACAAAAAAAAAACAAAAGTAAAAAATTGTATCCGACTATAATTTGAACCCGGAAACCTGTGATTGTCAATCTTGCGCCTTGGCCGCTTGGCTACGATTCTTATGCCAGTGCGTGCCAAATTAGCGACCATATTTGGCACACTCGGATAATATAATGCGAAAGAAACCCCATGAAAACTCGAAAACACATGTTTTCCCAGACATAACATTAATTTAGATCGATCTTTCGCCCCTGAAAACCCCCACATACCAAATGTTTGCGAAATCGTTAGAGCCGTTTCCGAGATCTCCAGTATAAATAAATAAATAAATAAATATACAAGAATAATTGCTCATTTAAAGGTATTAGATAGATAATAACTCAAATATATGGTCGCGTAATGGGGTTGTGTAACGTCAAATTACACCAAAAATTATAATTAATTAAAAATGGCACATCTGCATCCTAAGATACCTACTTGTCAAACACATGACAAATAACGACAAGAACAGTTAATTGTAAATTACGGCGTGTAAGAGAGGGACGAAAACATATTCCAAGATTGAAATTTCAAATTGATTGAAAAGATTCGAAATTTCGAAGGCTAGAATGTTCTTCGTTTCTGAATATAAAAAGGGATGGTGGTGTGTCGAGAGATCAGTTGAATTTTGGAGCTAAGAGAAGACAGAGGATTTATATCAAAAAATAAAAAAAGGAAAGAAAGTAAGAATAAAGTGAAAGTGTAATAAGTGGTGAAAAATCGCGTTCAGAGACTGAATCTAATTGAACTGCGTGTTTTGTGAAACGCTATAAGTTTTTCTTAAAAATCAAAAGTAATAAGACATCCGTAGTGCAAGACGTGCTTTAATTTCCAATTGCCTAACTCATAGAACGTAACAATATATTATATGAATTTATGTTGTGATTGCAATTAAAAGCTAAAGGTTTTAAGATTTATAATGCAATGAGACCTTCTTGTTTTATATTAAGCGACGAGCGCTACGAGCGCTACGAGCGCTACGAGCGCTATGAGTTAAACCGTTTGACAAACTTTAATTTAATTAGTTATATTAATTTAATTTGTAATCTTAAAAAACACAACGTCGACAGTAAAGAGTATTATGTTTTCAGAAATTTAACTTATGTCTTTAAGAACGTAATATGTAGAATTCCATATAGCAGCAATATTATAATTTATAATAATTTCCCCTGAACTAAAACATTTCGAAAGAGCCACAACAAAGCAGCAGATCACATATCTGACACGTTAATTAATACATTGGTCACTGATACATATCTACTGATAAATAGTTGTTATTTCCAACATTAAAACCGATTTCTGTAATTTAGATCATATGACAAGAAAATTAACAAAAAGTAATTACTTTCGAATATAGTAAAATATTTACTAAGATCAGCATAATAATTATTTATAGAAGGTGTGTCAACTCTCGTTATATGTGTGTGTATATAAAAAAAATAACTTTTAACTTTTTAATAAAGAACTGTACAGTATAAAAAACATGGGTGCGTGTAAGTAATCTTCGTGTAAGTAAGTAAGGTCTATTCTCGAAGCTACTCTAGATTACTATTTATATATTTTACTAGCATTCGACATTGTTTGCTTTTGCAATACCAAACCACCATCAAAAATGTACCAAACTATATAAAACTTGTGGCATATTTGAGTAGATCTAGAAACCAGGTAGGAAGGTAATTCAGATTATATTCATCTTCTATTTCGCATAAACATACTCTTTCCCGACAAAAATGACATACTTGTCTTAAATTAAAATGACATTCTCACCTAAAACAAATTAAGAGAAGAAAATAATTATAAATATGGATTATATTTATTTTCATGATATAAATATTATTAAAGTGCCTTTTTTCAAAGTATCATGCAGAATTTTATGAAAATAGGTAATGAGTTTGCATGTCGAGCTCGTTAGTTATTAATCGTATCACAACATTTATAGAGCAGCTAAAGTAATGACGTTAGAAAATATGTGAAGCAATTTTGCCACCAACAATTAACAACTTCGTAAATTTTGTTAAAGTTAAAGGACAATAAAATATATCTGTACATTTTTGTCTTTTAGTGTATGTTTATACGTTCACCATTCGATTGTAATAATAAAAAGTTTTTATGTAACGTCAATAATAATAATGTTACAAATAAACTTAATTATACATATTTAATAAGGCACATACACTTAATGCTTTACAAAAAATCACATCATCAATAAAAATATTACATTTTTTATTGAACATGACGAGTCTACCAACAGTTCGGAAAGCCTTAGTCCTGAGAACAACTAAATTAAGCAGGACTATAATAATTTTTTATCTTATTTTAAGTAAAATTATAAATTACAATAATTCTGCAACATTAAAGTAAATGCCTGGAGGTAATAATATTCTTCCCGAGATGTGTCACCTTCTATAAAATCAAATCAATTGTTATATAATAATATTTATCACACACACGTCCTAACATTTTTTTTGATTTAGCATTAGATACTTTTTGAATGTTGTCTGAGGCCCTCTTGTAAAAACGTATATATTGCCCATAAAAAGAATTAATAACTCTATATATTTATAAACGAGTCAAAGGCATTACAACATAAATAACATTTTCGTATACGTATGGAGAAGCAACACAAATATTTATTTTAAACTTATCTCTTGATGATGGTTTAGGAAAGCTATAAAAATATAATGTCATTATAAAACAGGTTGATGCGTCGCTTTATAATAAACACTTTTAAGAATCCTTGTGGAGTTTCATCTCTAGATGTTAACTATGTACGTTGTACATATGTGGATCATCCGGTCCTCTATGGCTTATGTTAACACGTCGGAGCGTGTGATCCGTTTAGTTTGAGCCATCTTTTAGGCGCCACTACTGCGCAAACTAGAACATACAAACTAATTTCTATTTGCAGTTTCGATCCTGTGAAATATAATGAAGACCTATTGCTATTCATCATATAATCTTATATATAAAATTTCCATGTCACAATGTTTGTTACCGTACTCCTCCGAAACGGCTTTACCGATTTTTACCAAATTTTATATGCGTATTCAGTAGGTCTGAGAGTCGGCTACTATCTATTTTTCATACCCCTAAGTGATAAGGATAAGGGTGGTCCTCCCAGACCCCACCCCAGGGACGAACCCGAGCGGAGCGAGAGTGAGTCGCTAGTATTTATGTATAATACACACGTAATGATAGTCTTTACATCAATTTTATTGTATTTATTTGCAGCAATATAAATTATTAAGTTTAGTAGATTAGGGAAAGAAATATCTAAAGATTTCGTGTCAATTTTTTTAATATTGGCTTTTTTAGTTATTATTTTTTTATTGAATATTAAAATAATTTATATCAATTTTTAAATATCTATATTTTCCAAAGAAAGATTGAAAAAGAAAAAAAATCCGATTTCAATCTTTTGATAATGCACATACATACACGTTGCATTCTAGTTTACGTTTAAATGAGAAAACTACATGCTACTTCCATATTTAACACGAACTACTATTTTTTTAATGATCCATTACTATTATATATTATTGTTTACTTCTAGACACTTTCTAGTTTTTAGTAAAGAAAGCTTATCGGTGAATGATGAAAAGTGCCTACATAAAATTATAATGCTTTTAGACTCGATGGAAGAGTACAATCTTAGATAAAAAACTGATTTCTCAACAACTAGAAAAAGTCTGTTAAAACTCTCTTACATTGGAAATTCTAGAAAACCTTTTAAAGCTTTTCGGCTTTTTAAGCTGCAGTGAAAGCCGTCGGTATTGTTTAAAAATTATCATGAAATTGCTTTGAAATTTTTAAATTATTCTGTTTTCTAGGTAGTATACTAAATGTTAAAAAAAAGAAAAGGGGTACATATTGTTTGACGTTTGACGACACGTTTGGCTCAGTGTGTAGTAACCCTACTTGCTATGCCAGCGGTTGCGGGTTCGAATCCCGCTGGGGGCATTCATTTGTGTGATGAGCACGAATGTTTGTACTCCAGTCATGGGTGTTTATATTTATAATATGTATGTATTTAAACTTATATGTAGTGTATCAACTATCTGGTATCCATAACACAAGCTTCGTAGCTTACCATGGAACTAGATGGTGCTGTGTATTAATGTCCCATTATATTTATTTATTTATTGTTAATACTTCTATTTTGTATTCGATACGTTATAATATGGTATAGTTTAATTAATATTAATAGATATCTTCATAAAAAAAGTTCATAATTATAATAGACATTTTAGGATCTAGAATCAAATTTACGTGAAAAGTGATTGTATGCTATTAAAAGTATACCTGTATTCAATATATTTTGTTATTACGAATTAAATGATTAAATCTTCCTTTGGTTCTCAGATATCGTCGAATATTAATCGCGCAATAGATTTTGGAATTCGTGTTACTCTTTAAAGATACTACTAGAATTAGCTTTACCGAAAAATATATTTTTATATGATAAATTACAGCTTCAAAAGTCCAGAGTAATTGTAGCTTAACGACATCAAAGGTTGTGTATACTGTCGACACTGTCGACAGGCTTACACTACGTTAACGAGCCTTTGTTGGCAAGGTAAGCCTTTTTACTCTCACTTTTTTATAAAAGGCAAAAATTATTAAAAATTACGTATATGGTCATACTACTAAAAGATAAAATGTGGCAACTTTTATTTAATCATAGCTTAGAAAATATTTATGCAAATAGTAAACAATATATACATTATACAAATTATTATATACATTTTTCATTCTCACAGCGCAAGTAGGTATGTAGGTACACTTGTATTATAATTGTTTTTTAAAAGATGGGTTGCATATTCACACATTTACAGATATAAATTAGTGATATTATATTG